AACCTCTACAATCCTGTCTGACGGCATGTTCCAGGAGCTGGTCCGACTGATCACCAACTACCCGTTGTCCATGGCGATGACGCAGCTAGTGGTCTGTGTGGCTCTCATCCCTTACATGTGGCTCCGCTCTCTCAAACTGCTGGCCTGGGCCTCGCTGCTGGGGAACATCTTCACGCTTGTGAGTTGATGGTTTTGTTGTTGTTGTAGTAGTTGTTGTTGCTGTTATTGTTGCTGTTGTTGTTGTTTTAGCTCATTGAGTAAGCGTCTTATGAGTTAATGGTTTTGTTATTGTTGTTGTTGCTGTTGTTGTTGCTTTAGCTCACTGAGTAAGCGTCTTGTGAGATGATGGCTTTGTTATTGTTGTAGTTGTTGCCGTTGTTGTCGTTTTAGCTCACTGAGTAAGCGTCTTGTGAGATGACGATTTTGTTATTGTTGTAGTAGTTGTTGTTGCTGTTGTTGTTGCTTTAGTTCACTTAGAAAGCGTCTTGTGAGATGATGGTTTTGTTACTGTAGGAGTTGTTGCTGTTGTTATTGTTTTAGCTCATTAAGTAAGCGTCTTGTGAGATGATAGTTTCTTAAGTAACCAATTGAGGAAACGCATTCTTGGCATCTGACAACAAGGTGTTATGAGATTAACCAAGTTTTATCTGCATTTTAGGAATACTTTTGTGGGTGATTAGCGGGTGCTCTTCTTTCCTGTTCCATCAAACATTTGTTGTCTTTATCTCCCTTTCTTCTTTAAAAATTTTTTGTTACTCTCTCGTAGCACCGCTAATCTTCGGAACATATATGACCTTATTGTGTGAGTTGCAAGTACCGTAAAACACTTACTAAAACTAAACTAAAAAGGAGTACTTTTGAATTGGACGTCAAAGTTTGTGAATTTTAAACGATAATTTTAATTAGCGCACCGTCTTATTAAGATTTTTTTTTTCATTTTAAGCAGGGCCTACTTTCGAGATATTGGACTTCAAAGTTAGGGAATTCTAAATGCCAATAGAATTTTGGTAAGCACGCCGTCGAATCAGAATATTTGCATTTTAGGATATTTGAGAAATTGGACGTCAATATTTGGGAATTTCATAAACAAAGACAGATAAAACCCTTTTCCGTTGCATTTTTCTCGATGCTGAATAGTCATTTCAGAACAAAACACGGATCATCATACAATGTGTTGTGGATAGAACCCACAGAAAACAATAACTCGAAACATCCACGCAACGCAGATAGAATGCTTTTCATCTCCATACAGATTTTTCAGCTATAGGAGGAATAGTACAAGGAGGAGTATGAGAAAGAGTAGTGGGTAGAAGAGTAGGAGGAGGAAGAAAAGAATAGGAGGAGGAGGAGGAGGGGAAGGAAAGGGTAGACCCAGGAGATAAGGAACATTTCATTAATTTCCAATATTATACTTATAAGGCAATATTGTGTGTCCCCCAGGTGTGTGCTGTGACCATCTTACAAGTGAGTGTCCGGAGCCTACAGCCCGTCTCTCACGTGCCCCTGATCAACACAGACATGTGGATGCTCCCTGTCCTGGTGGGATCCTCTGTGTTCAGCGTGGAGGGCATCACTATGGTCAGTGTGATTCCTAGTTCATCATACAACGTCTTGTGTCATTCTTATTCTTAGTTTCGTGGGTTTTTTTCGCAAGAGTTTTACGGCACTTGCAACACAATAAGGTCATATGAGTACCAAAGATTGGAGGTGTTACAAGGGAGTAACAAACACATTCTTAGTTTGGTTTTTTGAAGAGTTTCAAAGCAAACGACAACAACAGGAGCAGCAGCACTGCAACAATAACACCACCACCACCATCATCAACAACAACAACAGCTATAACAGCAACAACACGACAACAACAACAACAACCCAAAACAAAACTTAAAGAAAACACAGAGGGATAATATAATTATAAGTGCCGAAGATTAGAACTAGACGCATAGCTTCTTTCTATCAAACATTATGTCGTCCTAATCTCTGCCCCTTCTTTTCTTTGTGTTTTACTTACATAGTTAAGTTGTAACACCCCCTATCTTCGGCACTTATAGGGCCTATTTGTGTTACAAGTGTCGCAAAATTCAAACTAATGATAAAACTAATTGTAAATAATCATTTCATTATTTCAAGTGCTGCAAAACTCCATAACTAAAAATGAAATTAAAGGTATTTTGTTATTTTTTTTCTTTCCCCAACAGACTATCCCTGTACACAACAAGACAAAGAACCCCCGGGATTTCGGAGGTGCGTGCGGTCTCCTGATGGTGGCCACGACTTGTACTCTGTGTCTGAACAGTGCTATAGGATTCTTTGCTTATCTCTCCGTGGGGGACGAGGTGACAGGCAATCTGCTGGTCACCCTACCTAACGAATGGTCAGTTGTTGTTTTTGTGCGTGTGTATTTGTGTGTGTGTGTGTTTGTGTGTGTGTGTGTGTGTGTGTGT